GGGTCTGGAGAACAAGTCTTATGAGGAGCGGCTGAGGGAACTGGGGTTGTTTAGCCTGGAGAAAAGGAGGCTGAGGGGAGACTTCATCGCTCTCTACAACTACCTGAAAGGAGGTTGTAGCGAGGTGGGTGTTGGTCTCTTCTCCCAAGTAACTGGCGATAGGATGAGAGGAAATGGCCTCAAGTTGCACCAGGGGAGGTTTAGATTGGACGTGAGGACAAATTTATTTCCTGAGTGGTTGAGTCACCATCCCTGGAGGTATTTAAAAGACGTGTAGATGCGGCGCTTAGGGACATGGTTTAGTGGGCATGGTGGTGTTGGGTTGACGGTTGGACTCGATGATCTTAGAGGTCTTTTCCAACCTTAATGATTCTATGATTCTATGATTCTAAGTTTTAAGGGGGCAATTACACACAGCTGTAAATTGTTTTAAATCCTTTATCTGGTGTTCCGTATGAGTCTATGCCATCATGAATGCACAGAGCACCTTCATAACCTAGAGGCAACATCAAAGAAACGGCCAAAGAAATGTGGAGACTTCACCAGATCCTGGCAAAACTAGTGTGTTGCCATTTGAAATGTTCCCATGTAGTCCACGTTTAATTGTTTATGTAACAGAACTTCCAGAAACAACAATTATGTGCTAGGAGATAATTGCTTATGTTTAGCCTGGAGAAGAGTATTTCAACTTTGTGTTCAATATGGCATTACTTAACTAAAGGATAATATGAAATGGGAATATATTTCTGTCAAGCTTTCTGAGAAATCAGAAATTCAGTGTTGGTTGGCTTATACATACAGATCTAAGGTACATTAAGTTTTCTTCTTCCACATATGCCATCATCTTTAATGCATCAATATTTTTAAAAAATACCAAAACAAAGACATTTCTCTAAATTATGAACACTTAAAATTGCATATCAATCAAAGTGAATTTGATCTTATTAATAGATTAAATCTCATAATAATAATAATGCTGTTTAGAAGAATTAACACTGAGTTTTCTTTCAAGCTTTCTTCAACTTAGATGCCTTACGTCCCTTAGCTCCTGAATTGGTACCCTAATTTTCAGAAGAATTGATCATCTGAGTCTCTTACTTTGCTGCCCAAATATAGATTTCCATCAAAAACCTTTTAAGCTTTCTTTATAAGTTACAAAGCTAGTGAGAAAGCTGAGTATACAGAATTCTGACTAGAAGTTAACTGTCATTTTAAAGATCCCTCAATTTCCTTTTTAGTTTGGCCAGAATTATAACAGAAACGTTCACAGGAAAATTTTATAGGACTTTAACAGAATTTTTGACGTGCTTTGCCACCTTGCTGCAGAGAGAGAGGAGCATGGGTTGGAGGGGGAGGAAGTAAATTCCTACCGCTCATGCAGAAGGTCATTGAGACCTCATGCCAACCTTGGAGCAGGGACGAGGTGGGACAATGGAGCAGGGTTGGGCAGGGCTATACCAGGAGGCAAAAGGC